CCACATTTATTTAACTTTGATTAGGAATGACATGAAAAAGGACAAGCAAAGGCACTGGAGGTCACCATCAAATGTGCAATTTATATTTGACGCAAAATAGCACATAACAAAAATACAAGACAGAACGTAATGGTTCATTTGAATTTATTTTTTTTGATGTAAAGGTTTGATAGGGTAACGTCTCTTAGATTTGGGAAATATTTGTTCCGGAGGTCACAAAGTTGAATTGATTATTAAACTGTAGTTTTAGAAGAATAAAGTTCCTGTTGTATGTTAGGAAATGTGAGTTGGAAAAGTTGGTAGAGTTCAGAAGAGTTAAGAGTTCGTAGTTGCATGAGTGTTGGTAATGTTCTTTAATGTCTGACCGCAAGATTAAGACGAGAGTTCTTGAAGGTCACATTTTGGCAGCAAGGAAGGAGACGAAAGAGAAAATGGAGAGAGAAGGCTTACTCGTGTTTTGCTTATATAAGGTTGTGTCACACGTGATTGGCTCAAACAGTGTGTGCAGGAAAATATCATTCCTCGCGTGCAGGCGATTTGATTGGTCAGAATTGGCCAATCAGCAAGCTAGTTTTGAGGAGATTAGCCAATGAATGCTTGTCGTATGATCTGTATGTATGTATGTGTGTAATGATGATAATAATCACCACAAAGGTAGCTTGAACAAATGTATTGAAATAACAGAACATATATACAAAATAAAAGTGATATTAGTCAGAAGATAGAAGTGTCCGTCCAAACTGTTAGGTTACACTGCATCCCGACTGCCAATATTTATTTCTGTTAAAATACAGAAAATGTGGCACAAGGCCTAAAAAGGGGGATGGGGAAAAGGATGGTCTTCATCTCTCTTAAGTTTAAACTTAGCTAGCCACAAACACTGACACAAACATACAAACAATATTCTTAACACCAAAACAACACACTTAAGAGGCGTTTCAGAGCACGACGACATTCGCAGGAGAAGGAGCATTCGGCTCAGGGTAAATGGTGGGTCTCCACCTCGCTCAAGTGCACACTTCTCAGGGATGGGAAGTTCTTACGGGCGTCTTCCTTCCAGAAGGCGCCCTCCTCATCCGATTCGCGACACATTTGGTCTAGGAAGGCGATTTTACCACATTCACTTTCACCAGCGCACCGGGAGTCGCATACAAAAGTCGGATCCAGGAGCGAAAGTCCGGCCCGAAAACGGCCACTGAAAGGACAGCCTCCAGGAAACGATGGTCAACCCTATCGAAGGCCTTTAACTGATCTAAATTGATCAGCGCGGCTTCACTGTCGACTTGTTCTAAGATCAAGCGTACCATATGAAGGTTGTCCTGAATAGTTCTGCCCTTCACAGCACAAGTCTGTTCGGAATCAATCAGACTAGACAGGACAAGCTGCAAACGGTTGGCTAAGATCTTCGCCAAAATATTTAACTCTGTATTTAACATGGTTAAAGGACGAAAGTTATCTAACCCATCCCCACCGTTCTTGTCCTTACGCAGCAACTTGATCACACCTATGGTGAAGCATTGAGGTAAAGACACCTATTTCATCCAGTTGTTGAAAATCAAGTAAACTTCGCAGGCAAGACCATCTAGTCCTAGAGATTTATCCAGGTCAACCTGTTTCAGCGCTTCCCAGATTTCCGTCGAACTGAGCAGGGCTCAGACTGGGCTCCCTGGTGAAAAGTTCCTGAAAGTAATCCCGAAAGGCCTCGCATATGCCCGCGTTTATAGTCACAGTCTGTTTATTCAGCAATGTGACGCACGCGATATGTTGCCTTGACATGCTCGATTCTCCTGTGCGCACAATTCAGCGGCCATATTCATCGCCTCAGAGGACATTCTTTTTAACCTAGGCCTAACTACCAGAGCTTGATCCTTCTTGATAAGCAAGGAGGACAACTCTGCCTTAGCTAAAGCTATTTATCCAGTATCTGGGGATTTAACTGCCCGATTGACTTTTTGTTCTAAAGCCGTAATCTATCCAGATTGAGTCGACGACTAAAATCGGCAGCAAACGTTCTAATATTTGATTTTAGTTCATCTCACCAGGCGTTCCCTACAACCGCCCCCGTCAATTCTCTCTGTATCATTAGTAGTTAGCTGGTCACGGAAATCCCGCTCACCAAATAATGAGCAGTTTAATTTCCATTAGCCAACCAACCTTGCCTTAGGCTTATCTAAGTTTACACGGACAAGCCTATGATCCGAATAAACTATATAATGGAAACTTGGACACTCCTAAGACTTGGTCGAGGTAGCTAGAAGGCGTCCCAGGAACCGAGCTGCCACTATTTGTCCAAGTCCAAATTACCTTCCGAGTGTGTTCATTCCGGTACTTATCGACAATATCAAACCTGTCGATAAAATCCAGAAATGGTTTCACGTCCCGGTTGTTAGTACCCGAATTTGGCCCTATGCGGTCTATATCGGGGACAAGGACGGTATTCCAATCCCCAGCTAAAACTACCCGACGAGATGTCGTCAAAAACGGCTCGATCTGCCGAAACAAAGCAGGCCGCTTAGAATGGTTATTGGGCGCATAAACTCCAATGAGACGCAGAACCTTATCCTTTATGGTAACATCCAGCACGCAAAGCCTGCCCGCCGGATCTGCGAAGACAAGGATACACGCAGCCTTCAAAGACTTGCTCACCGGCCAAGAGACACCTCTCGAACGACCATCAATCATCCTGTACGCATTAAACATTCACCCCGAGGCGCTAAAGGTCACGAGAGAGCCTCGCTCTGCGAAACTCTGACCTCAGGCCTTGGACATTTATACTTGCTAACCATCAAAACATGCTGAATAAAGGAAGAACCCCTTAGACAGTATGTTCTCACGATCATGAGAAGAAAACCGGGTCTCCTGTACGCACCAGACATTCACCCTGAGGCGCTGAAGGTACGGGAGAGCCTCGCCCTGCGAGACTCCGACCTCAAGCCTCAGACAGAGAGAGCCATAACGAAAAATGATTAGGGCTGCTTTCCTGAATTGAACATGGACGTGTTAAGGATATCGACCGCCTCCCCCATCGACACGTGGCCCATCTCAGTCTTGATGGTGCCGTCTTGGGAGAGGCCGTCTATATCCCAAGGGAAAGTCAATTTGAGTGCTCTATAGAGGGAGGGTGAACAAAAACAGGCACCCTCCCGGCACAAAATTGTTTCATTTTTTTCAATTTTTCGTTTTGTACAATCGCAATAGGTGGTGACATTTTAAAAGAGGCTAGCTTTCGGATCTTCTATGTCATTGTCCGCAAAATGTTTTATTGATAGAAGGTATTTTAAATCCTTTATCCTATTGCCGTAGTCACGTGCTTTATCGGCTTGTGCAGGGGATATTTTGCAAACATCTTCGCCAGAGTTGAATATGTTTTTCTGCCTTTTCCTTTTTTCTGTTGAGTCCTGCGTAGGGCTTCTCAGTCTCTTGGCATTTCCGGAGTTTTAATTGGGGAAGGACTGGGGGTATTGCGAGGCGTATAAGATTGTTTTAAGGGGCTTGGGTCTCTACTGAGAGGGGTTGAGGGCCGGAAAGAAGATATGGAAGAAATGGCCTTTTTAGTAGAGGATGAGATCTTGTGCTTACTGGAGGGGGAAGGCTGAGAAGATTTTGCTGAATGTGGGGCAGTGGATGAGGAGGGAATTTTCTTTTTAATGGGGGAAGATTTTCAAATCCGTTGTTGGTCTAGTTTTCGTTTTAATTTTTTGAGTTTTTCGTTTTTTTCGAAACCAGGATCATATTCATATATATATAAGTTCTTCTAAGGTCGGATTTGAGGCCGGTGCGTCGCCCTAAGTGTTGACAGAGAGTGTGGGACTGTTCGTGTCTTTTGTCCAAGAGGATTCAAGGGACTGAGGTCCCGCTGTCTGGCACTTCCCTCTGGCCCCGCCAGCTACCTGCCATTCTCCCTGTCCCTCCTCCATAACTGAACTTGCGAGAGAAGGCTCTTCGGGGAATGGGGGCTTAGGTGTAGATGTAAGCCCAACCGGGGTTTAATCACTCCGGTTCCGGCAGCTGGCATACTCATTACAGGCGAGGCAGATTTTAAAGACGCAATCAGAGAGGGAGTTTGGTCGACTGGGGTCTGACTTCCAGATGCTTTCTTCTCTGGGCAGGAAGAGGAGAGGTGACCAGTCTCTCCACACTTCCAACAAACTGGTTTACGGCCGGTCACTATGACCGGCAGCTTCAGGCCTGCAACATCTAGACAGTTGGGGAGGGAGATGAAGGCTTTACGGTCCAACATGATATCAAAACTCCATCCCCCACTCAGGCTATTGCAGGAAGCCCCCAGAATTTCTCCGTACTGAGACGGAAAGAAAGAAAGTCGCTAGGTGTTCCCCGATAATCTGAGGAGGGACAGCGTATACTGCTAAAGGGTCCTTCTCCTGCCTTCGTACTCTGTTCGAAGTATCAGATCTTTTGTGATTAATTCTCGGCTAGTTGCTTTTATGCAATCTTCCGCAGTGGGTAACAATACGTCCCACATGAAAAAGCCTTTGCCCATAACAATTCGAAGTGGCTTAAACACCAGGGACTCTAGTGTTTAAACCACTGTGTCTTTCATCGTGCGATAAATTTTCCACGTACGCTTGTCAATGACACTGACAAACACTATTCTTTTTTCGATCTTCTTAAGTTCAATGGTGTCCTCCAAGAGCCCACCTTCTACCACAAGGTGTGCGTATTTCTTGGCATGCTCCAAGAACTCAACAATATCGATGATGCATTTAGGTGTGGATTTCCAATAACAGGGCAAATAATCAGAAACTCTGGCAGGGGTTACAAAAATAAACACGGAAAATATAAATTTAAAAGGGAATTTAAAAGTAAAAAAATATAAAAAAGAAAACTAACATTAAAAGGATAAGAGCAAAATAAAGGGAAAAAATAAAAGGTGGGGAGGGCAAAAAACTGAAAAGGAAAAAAAAACTTTTGCAAGACAGTTGAAAGATGGCAAGAAGGACAGTAAAAAAAAATAAATCAAAACTTAACCAAAATGCAGATCAAAGTGAAACGTAGAGAGTCAGGGAAAAATCGGTCGGTGTTGCAGCGGGCCGAGAGGTGTGAGTGCCAATCGACCGTACAACTAAAAAGGGGACACAAAGGCAATAGCAAAGAAGGATGACAAACGCAGATGGTCCGTTGTAGGCGATAGAAATCGTGTCTTTATTTGCGAACGGTGGATAGAAAGACGACAGAGGTCGTTTATTCGGGAACGGTATCCGGAGGTTGGAACTGGTTGCTGGACGTCAGTGAAGCACTGCAGGAGAAGAGCCAGAGATTGCTGGAAGCTGCAGGGGTGAGCTGGAAACTGTGGGAAGCTGCTGGAGTGAGCTGGTAGCTGCTGGAGTGAGCTGGAAGCTGCAGGAGTGAGCTGGGAGCTGCAGGAGTGCTGGATGCTGCAGGAGTGAGCTGGGAGCTGCAGGAGTGCTGCAGGAGTGAGCTGGAAGCTGCAGGAGTGCTGGAAGATGCGGGAGTGAGCTGGAAGCTGCAAGAGTGAGCTGGATACTGCTGGTAGCTGCAGGAGTGCAGGAAGCTGCAGGAGTTATCTGGCATCTCAGAGGGAAAGCAGTAGCAGAGAGTGAAGTGAGTGGAGCCTCGAAGAGTGGCGATCGAATGACTTTCAGAAGTTAGCCCTGAAAAAGACTGTTTGAACAAATGGTGCTGCTGATGCTGGGTCCCGCCAGCTGCTGGGCTCGGTCGACTTGACTGGGCGCAAAATCGCGATTCAGGAAGGCTCCCCTGCCCCTGGCCAAAATTTATTTAAACTCCCACGGGATGTGACACAAGGTCGTTTTTCATGGGAAACCCGAATATTCCGCATAGGGTCACTGGTCAAAGATTGGTCATAACATGTCCAAGCTGGTCAAAGCTTAGTCAAGTTCTGGCCCAAGTTAGTCTTAGCAGGTCCTGATATGGTCCAAACTAGACTTTGCCATGGTCGCAACCTAGCCCGAAAGCCGGGCTGCTCCCTGGCCAGCGGTATTTACTTAACTCCCACGGGGTCAAGATGTGACACAAGGTCGTTTTTCGTGGGAAACCCGAGCGTTTCCGTATAGGGTCACTGGTCAAAGCTTAGTCAAGTTCTGGTCCAAGTTAGTCTTAGCAGGTCCTGATATTGGTCCAAACTAGACTTTGCCATGGTCGCAACCCAGCCCGACGGCCGGGCTGCTTCCGTAGCCGGCTAAAAGCCGCTGTGAAGTCTCGGGCATCTAGATATGACGGTTCATACAAGAGACACGATGACGCTAAACAAGTAAATGAATATAATTAATTTCGGGCCGTATAAATTACAGTCAAAAGTGTGTTTGGTGTTTGTTAACTGTATTTAAATTAATTTCGGTTCAAAATTAAAGGTCTTTTATTTTTGTTTAGTGGCGAAAATTGAGTTTTGTGTGTTTCTGTCAGTTTGAAAGGATGTTGTTGCTATTTTTAGCACACAAGGGTCGTGACCTTTCTCTACTAGCAGGCATATCCGGGATTGTTTAAGAAAAGGTGGGAGTGGTGATTGGACACACTGCGACATCGGTAAACAGTCAAAAAGGAGTCAGGAGACTGCTGGCTGGGTCGCGACTGCCTGCCTAAGATGTCTCGCAGGTTAGTATTTATGAAGGAGGAAGTGTTCATTCTTATGTAGATAGGTCACCATAACAATTAAAGAAATGAAAATAGCAAATAATAGTCATTTTAATTGGGATGTATGTGCTAAAGGAAAAATGTGCCAATATTACAATAAAAGAGCCAGTAAAAAAGGTAAACTAACAACTTGAACTTGTATGTTGTCTTGTCTGGTCCAACAATGAAACAAAATATGCAATAAACTTTGAGAATGACTTCTTTGGAATTATCATTGTCTATTTTCTAAGACAAAATTCAGACAGCATTTGCAACGAAAAGATTTTTGGCTGATATAACACCCTATGGTACAGTTAAGAGGCTAAGAACAGATAATGGGACAGAATTCATTTGCTTCAAATTTAAGAGACTTCTTGTTAATTGTTTATATTTATTTAACTTTCACAAATATTTATTTTTCAACAAGTAGCCTGGATTTTTTGACACAGTTTATTTAAATCTGCCTTATTTTGTTCCATTTATTCTGTATAATTGCAATTCTTTTTATATTATATTTTATATTGTGAAAAATAGCTTTAGATTAATTAATTGTAATTTGATTAAGGATGATTTGTTTGCAAAATGGGAATGTAGTTTGAATGAATTCACATTTACCATTACAAGTAAACTCTAAGAGGTAATTTACCAGAGATTCAGCTTGCACCTTATCAATACTGTTAAAAAGTTTGTTTTTGTCATTAGAAAGTGTAGTGCAGTATTAATGACTCACGGGAAGTAGTATACACTCAACTATCTTATGGGTAATAGCTATAGCTACTTGTAGTCTTTGTGACATGTGTGGGAATAAAATAAAGATACAAAATAAAATAAAAATACAAAATAAAATAAAAATACAAAATTAAATAAGTACAAAATAAAATAAACATTAAAATCTCCCAGGAGTCCTCTGACAGGAAAGACAATTTACGCATGTGCAAAAAAGAGAGATTTCCTGGCGCCAAAGATAAACTAGAAGAATCTATCTCTTTCACGGTTGGACCTTTGACTGGTGAACTCGTGCCAACTGTTCGGGAAGAAATTCCCCAACAAGAGCTCGTTGGAATCCAGAAGAAGGTAATAAAATCAGTGTCCTAAACTGTCCCTCTAGTGTCTCTGTTTCCTTCCGTCTTTTCTTTGTCAATTTATTTCAGCGACGAAGGCATTCAACAAGTTTTTGGATGTTTAGGTGAAAGAATCAACCCAGCACTAATAGCCATAACATCCACACATGTAAATGAGTCACCAAATCTCCCTGTGCTGAAGAGGTTTTATCCCCTTATTTTCCCTGGTACTTGTTCTGTGAACTTTTGTCTCCCCGATTCTTCTGCCCTCCCTCTAAGGGATTGTCTACATATGGGAGATCTTGAGCTTTTTTCATATGAGTGTTCCTCCACTGATTGTCCTGGTTCATCTTCAGAGTCTATATTACTCTCGACTTCACTCTCTAATTTATCTTGCCTTGACATGACACTTTTGCCTCATTACTTTAAGGCTCACTAAGAATTTCTTTATTGGTATCATGTTGCAATCTAACTTTGTCTGCAAGCACTAATATCCCATTTCCATTTTTTTTCTATTATCATAAATTTCTGTCCACTTTGCATTATGATTCTTGCCTCTTGTATTACTTCTGGCCAGCCTGAATATGAATCTACCAGTATTAGCAATAATCCCACTCCATTAACTTAGGTATGATCCATGTGTACTCTGTTCCAGGGTTGGGATTCTTTAGGCGTGTGTTTTTGTCTGTCTAAATTTTCTTCTGACATTGCACATTTTGCACCTTTTATGTATTCTTCTACATCTATAGAATAGACTGGCCACCATGCCTCTAGCCTTAATCTCCTTTACGTAGACATTATTCTGCAATGAAAATCATCATGTACACTTTTTATAATTTGGCTCTTTTGCCTTGTTGGCAGAACCACTGTCTCCATTACAAATTACACTCTTTTCTACAGTTAACTTGTGCTTAACATCTTTAAAACACCTTTCTGCTCATGAGCAATTATTCCACTTATTATTTTTTATCCTGAACAATATACTGTTCAATATGGGATCTCACTTCATATCCTCAGCTAATTTGTCTATTGACCAAATATCAGTTTCAACCCAGTGTAAGAAAGTATCTTCAAATTTTTCATCCTCTTTCTCACTTTCAGAAGTAATAAACCTCAATCTTGACAAAGCATGCAAAATGGTATTGCCTTTCACATACTCGATATTGAAGTCAGATGCCATTAACATTAAGGTCCATCTTAGAATTCTAGAGGATGTTATCTTAGGAAGTTCCTACCTAAGATTAAATATGAATTCTAAATGTCTATGGTTGGACCTTAGTAAGAATGTCTTTCCAATCAAAAATAAACAAGCTTTATTCGATGTCCATATAATGGCCAATGCTTCTTTCTTAATATTTGAGTAGTTCAATTCAGCTTTTGACATGAAAGATACATAATAGGATGACCATCCTGAGCTAATATTCCTGAAATTGAATGTTCACTTGTGTCAATTGTTACCAATAATTCCTTTCTAGGTTTGAATATTTTTACCTTCTTTACCAGCCTTTAAATTTTCAAATGCCACTGGTTGTTAATAAATTCTATATTCTTCTTTCTTAAAGCAGAAAAGGTTCTGTCAATTCAGAGTGTCACTCTAGATATTGTCTGTAGAAATTTACAAGTCCTAAGAAAGATTCCAATTCTTTTTCATTCTTAGGTACTTCAGTTTATAATATTTTATCAATTAATGATTGGTCTGGTGATGTGCCTTTGTTAGATATGGAATATCCCAAAAATGATAAATTTTTAGAGTTGTGGACACATTTTTTTTAGTTAATTGTTAATCCAGCATTTTTTAACTTATTCAAATCGTACTGGTTTTCCATTTTAATTCTTCATTGTTAATACCACCAACACAAATGTCATCCTGGTAGCATATTATATTTTTTTTATATCGCTACCAATAACTTACTCTATAGCTATAGCTCTTTGAAAAATTGCACTCACAGTTTTAATTCCATATGCCATTCTTTTCTATCTTAATAAGCCTATTGGTGTGTTTATTGTTGTGACTTCTTTAAAGTCTTTGTCAATAGGTATTTGACTTGAATGTTTTCGTATCCACAAAGGAGTTCAAAGCCCACTCTATATTGAAGATAGGATATGAGTCTGCACATATTTTGTGGTTTACACCTATTTAGCAGTCACCACAAATGCATAAATCTCCATCCTTCTTTCTTAAAATTAGCAATGGGGAGGCCTAATTGCTCCCTTCTGTCAAAACTTGTTCAAGTAGATCATGTTCCAGTAATTTTTTAGTTTTTCCACAACTATTGGTAGTAGATAGACTAACACTTTTCATGCCTCAAAATATGAGGGGGAAAGCATTTTTCTTTAGTCTTAACTTTGCTTCATAGTTTTTTAACATTCCAGTTTCTTCTGCCTTGACTTTGTTTACTAATTTTGTTGAATTTATGTTCAATACATCATTTTCTATTAGACCTTGATTCTTTCACGGTTTTCAACAATAATTGGTAATATGTCAAACCTACTTTTAGTTCCTCGTAGTCTTGAAAATTGCCTAATGTTTTTATCATGGATCTGTCAAACTGATTCAGCTGGACAAGACTTTTCTTTAATCTGTGGTTTCCTAAATTCTTTCAGAAATTTCTGGGTATCAACATCATGTCACTTACCATATCTAGCTGCATGTTCAATAAAACATTATTGATTTAAATTTTTAATAATTCTTTTTCATTTTTTTTTTTCAATGAAAAGATGTCCATACTTATTTCCTCTTCATTTTGTTGGACTGTTTCTATGTTTTTCTTTTAGAATTTACACATACATTTAAAATGACTCATTTTAAAACACTTTCCACATTTTTTATATGTTAGACATTTTTGTTTTTCTCTTTGATATTGATATCCACAAAAAGTACAGCTTATTTTATCCTTTTTCTTTATTGTGTTTGTGTCTACCAGATCTGTAACTTTTGTTTTATTAAATTTTCCAGTCAATTCTTGTTGCTGAACACACTGTTCTAGAGAGAACTTTCCCAGTCGTAAATGCATGAGTCAATACTCCTCATTTTAAAGGCCATTTACCAATTTCATTTGGATCAAATCCTCTTCAATTGATTGGTTTTCCAATTCCAGTTTCTCAAATTCACAATATTTAATGAATATATTCAATAACTGGTTTAGTCATGTTTTGAGAAATATTCAAAAACTTAGCTTTCTCTGCATTCATTATTTTTTTCTTGGGTGCTATATCTTTCACTATTAGCTGACTTATATCGTCAAATATCATATCCTCCAACTATGTTGGGTGTGCAATTGCTGATAATTTTATGATGGCCTCACAACTAGCAGTGGCTAACAAAAGATCAATTATTTAGTTTTCTCCTCCAGTTGATTTCAAATCGTTTAGCTTTTTTGTCCTAGCTTTAGCTGTTAGTATTCTAAGCCATGCTTATGCAATATTCATAATTATCAAGTGATAATTGTTCGTTCAATTCTTTAGATATCAGCAATGCCATTGTTGTGTTACTGAATCACAGGAAGTAGTATTCACTCAACTGCCTCATGGGTAATAGCTGTAGCTACTTATAGTCATTTTCACTTCATATGTAAATGAGTCACCACAGAATGTACTAAGAGCATTATCTTTAGTTAACTTCACTCAAAACAATTCCTTTTCACTGTATGGTGTCAGTGTGCATTGAAATATTTTTGTATATTGATTCTAGCATTGAAAATGGAATAAAATAATAATTTGTACCATATATTTTTTATTCTAAGAAGAATAAAATACAATTAAAATACAAAAACAAACAATAAACAACATTTGTGTAATTTGTGGAGAAATTATTAAAAATGGTTCAAAATGTGAAAAACGCTTTACAGAG